CCGCAGAGGTGAAAGGGGGCTACGGCTACCGACCCAAAGAAGAAGGAGCCGAAGACAACCCTCTGCTCGCGGTGGGAGTGCGCGCAAAAGAAATTGCCCACGACCGATACCCCCGAATGCCGGATACTTCCTGGGCTGAAAGAGCTTACTCTAGTGGAGCCCTTGACCCGTCTTTGGGACAAGCCTTCTCGTTTCCTTCCCTTCTGCAGCTGAGGCTGCGCATCGAAGTCCCCTTGTGGAGAGACCTGGCGACTGCCAGACACCCCGCTGCAGACTTGCCTGCAGAAGAAGACTCTGCCTCTGATGCTACCTTGCGCTCCGGGTGCCAGTGGGGCTTGCTGAACCACCAGAAGCTGACACTGAGGAAGCTACTGAGGATGAGGACATGGCAGCAGAACCCAACTATGCTTTTGCCAAGGGATACGGACGTTTCGGCATAGGCTACTCTAGGCTAGCAACGGCGCTTGGCAATTTTGAGCAAGGGAACATCCAAGCAGAAAGTACAGTAGTAGCTCAGTGGCTGACCTCCGGGCTACGAGTTGCCATGTCCCGCACAGGGTGGAATCTGCTGTCTCCCCGCTTTATGTTGACCAAAGTTCCTAGTGCTATCCTCAGTAATTACTACTGCCATGGATATCCTTTCACTCCTAAAATGGAAGATCGCCCATATAACCAATATGGCCCACTCCTCTACTCGGAAGGCCGATGGGATCAGCTCTGTGCATGGCTCACTGGGAATTCCAAGTTTCGCAATCAGCTCGCAGGCCACAAGCAGGCGCTTAGGATGTGGGCTACAGTCAGGAAGCCGCTGACCCAAGTAACAAAGCTCGCCGTACTGTCCCTCAGCAGGGTCTTCCTTTCACAGCAGGCCTCCCCCACCGCCCACGCCTTATGGGTGGTGGCAGTAGGGCGGTCTCCAGTAAGAGTCTCCCCGTACAGTGACCGTTTCCTAGTAACTGGACCTCCTCCATGAAATGGGTAGCCTTAGCTACCCTAATTCTTGTTGTCTAAATGTCATCATGATTTTCGCAACGACAACATATCCGTTACCTCGGTTTTTTGGCCCAAGCAACTCGAGCATAAACGCCCGGACTGCCGCCTACGCGACAATGCCGCCTAACCAAGACCGTTATGAGGTCAGTCTTGATTTGGTCACGATAGCAGGCACGGAATATACTATGCAAGCAAATCTCACCCAGTACGAGGATGTGGCAGAGCTGGAAGATGACATTCTTTGCTTTCTGCCGACAGTTTCTGATTTGGATGTCTTCGGCTGTGAGTTAGATTTGCTCGACCTACACACGCAGCAACCCCTGCCAGAAGCATTTCGCACAGCGCTCCTGCAACGGCCGCAACTACAAATTGTAGTTCGTCCCTGCATGGTAGATGGACACTCCATCTGGCAGTTCCAAGAGGACGGAAGGGAAAGCTACCCCAAAGCTGTACGTGTCCCGGCTAACCCACGTGGAGAAATTGCTGACAGAGCCTTCTATGCTGCACCCTCGCTCCGGCATGTAGAAGTGGCAATGGGCATCCAACATGTAGGAATTGCGGCCTGGCAGAGTTGCCAGCTACTGCAAATTGTCAAGCTCCCACCCTCGGTCATAAGTCTTGCAGAAGGGACCTTCCAGGGGTGCTATGTACTGAGAGAGGTGGCCGCCCCGGGGTGTGTCCAGTACAGTCGAAGAGTGTTTGCGGAGTGCTGCTCCCTAGGTCGAGTTGGTGTCAGTCACGAAACTGAGGACAGCAACGTCCTAGCACCAGGGGCACAGTTAGGCAAATATGCATTTGAGAGTTGCCTCACGCTTACAACCATCACCTTTGACATGGACCACACCAATAAACCCCGAGCGCTGCCTGAAGGTGCATTTTGTGGAGCAGGCATTGAACAGCTCTGTTTGCCAAGTGACTTTCACAATATCGGGCCGAGGGCCTGTGAAAACTGCAAACGACTTGTGGAGGTCAACCTCATGGGCACAGAAATCACAGCCCTACTCTACTCCACCTTTGCCCACTGTGTAGCCTTACATTGCATATGGCTACCACCAAGACTCACACAAATTGGCAAAGAAGCTTTCCTTAATTGTGTTATGCTCCAAGAAGTAGTCATCCCGACAGAGCTCAGTGACATAGGCAACCGTGCTTTCTGTGGGTGTGAGCAACTGCAACGATTTACTCCCCTGGATTGGGGAGATATTGAACAGTGGGTGCAGGCAGAGCACAATGCTTTCTTCATGTGTGACAAATTTGAAAAAACCCCGGTGGGTGGAGCTCCTCTCCGCGGATGGGCCCGATTCGGACGCCTTTGATGAAGAGCTATACCAAGAGTACTCCTAACATCAGGTCAGTCCATGTGAGGTTCAAGGTGGGTGCCTTAGCATCTGTCTTCAGGAAACATCCCTGGCCCTAGGAACAGTCCATGAGCAGAGTCAGAAGCTTTTGGCTCAAACAGTAAATGCAAGTAGACAGCCATTCATGGAGCTCGACGACTCATCCAGGCTTAGTACTCCCCCTGAAATGGAGCCGGTCATGGACTGCTCCTTGGTACTGACCACGCTCTCGGGGGTGACTATCAAGGTCTCTCTCAGTGTGGCAAAGTTTGATCGATTTGAGGACCTAGAGGACCAGGTCATGGACTATCTGGCCTCAGTCACTGACCTCAAAGTGTTTGGGTGCTCCATCGACTTTCTGCAAACTGCCACACAGACATACCTTGAGGACCCAATCTGGGACAGGCTACAGCAAGGCGTGGCATACACCGTTGTCTTCAAGGATAGCAGTGTCATCCTGCCGCTTGCCGTTCATGTCCCTATGAACCCAGAGGAAATCGTCCCAGAAGGGGCCTTTGCAGGGGTTCCGCGTCTGCGGCATGTCAGTGTTGAGTCAGGCATCAGGCTCATTGGAGCAGAGGCCTGGCAAAATTGCCGACAGCTTCGCATTGTCAAACTGCCGGCCACAGTTGTAGGCATTTCCGATAACGCCTTTCGTGACTGCGAGCAACTAAACAGTGTCTCGGCTCCTGGTTGCCGAGACTTTGGATACAAGGCCTTTGCGGAATGCTGTTCCTTACAATGGGTGTATGCATCTGAAGGGGTTGCAAATAAATTCAGTAACGAAGCCAAGTTCGGGCAATACCTCTTTCAAGGGTGCATTAACCTTGCTGAGGTTACCTGGTGTGAGATTCCATCCCCCCGAGGGTCAACACTGCAAGCTAGGACCAGTGAGCTGGCACCGGGCTGTCTTAGCTCTACGGGAGTCACTGCACTCGCTCTTACAAAGCATTTTACTGCTATTGGAGCGCATGCGTGTAACAGTTGCCGACTGCTAAAGAGTGTAGACCTTTGCAACACCACTGTTGAAGAAATTCCGGAATTCACCTTTGTGCACTGCACTAGCCTCAGAGAAGTTCTCCTTCCGACTACTCTCCATACAATCCGAGTTAAAGCCTTTATGAACTGGGCAGCCCTAGTTGAGCTTGCAATCCCGCCTTCGCTAAGATACATTGGAAGTAGGGCCTTCTTGGATTGCACTGCCTTGAAGAGGCTCGCCAAAATGCCAGGCAAGCACAAATGGCGAGGAGTCTATGCAGAAGAAAATGCTTTCGCCATTTGTCCCGATATGAGATGGCCGCCCTGGCTACATATGATCCCGGACATGGGATATACCCCTGGTCTTGGGTGAAGACAAGCCTCTCGGATCACAGCTATCGCAGGCTCACTAACATCCATCATGGGCGCGCGCCTTAGCTCGAGTCCAGAGTAGGCCAGAAGCCACAGCAGGCCAAATACCATGAGTAGAGCTGAGGATCACAGCAAAAGAAGCCTTCCTTCAACGTACCTCGCTACAGGAGGTTCCTACTCCTGCTCTGTATGGCGCTATGCGCCTTTGCAGGCAGTCCGCACCTTCGAGCAAAGTACAAACAGAGAAAAAGCAACACATGGCGAAGGACATACGTCCTTGACCAAGGTGAGTAACTCGTCTAGTCCAAGCGGCACCGAGAGCAGTCGGCAGATGCCAGTGAACGATGGAGAGAGGGCTCTCCAGACCTGCAAAGACCAACAATGCTTTCGCAGCGGGAATGGTGGATAGACACACCGCTAACAAGTTACGGCAAAGGAAATGCGCAAACAACAAGTAGGACCGTCAATCTCTTTTCGCCATTCGCAATACAGTGAGCCAGTAGGAATGAGAGCCTTAGCTCCTCGTTCCCAACAGGCGGGTGGTATAGAGTGGCAATGGAGGATGCCCAGGGGGAACCTTAGTTCCCTCTGTTGATGTCCGACGTTTCCAATTTTGTACAAAGGGGTACAGATACCATGTTAGGATAGGTCCAATGTTTCACCTGTTTCACACGGGCCCTGCGCGCAACAGACCACTTTTTGCAATGCCGCAGCATTTCGCGGAGTTAGGGGACACCCCGTTTTGGCACCTCCGGGTGCCGAAGGGTGCTGAGATGACCTCCCTTCGAGGGGGTATGCCTTTCGCACCCTTACCTGCAGGCTTTCGTCGTTTGCTATGACCGCCACCTTCTATATCACCAACTAATATGCCTCTGGACTTGTAAGCGCAATCAGTTGAACGGGTTGTGCCACAAGAAAGGTTTTTTCCACGGCATGAAGCATAGCAACCACTGATCCATTTCGACATGGATACAACCGGCGTAGGAGCATAGCTATACTCCTGACCTGCATCGTGACCAGGTTTTTGCCACACCGTGCAGTGGCCGCTGGTCACTGGTAATAGAGAAGTGAAGTCCATTTGAAGACTTTTTGGAAACTTTGCTAGAGCACAAACCCGCGCTGCCATGCTCTTCGTTCGAGAATTCAGGCCCATGGATCGCGAATAGTTTTCGTTTCACCTGTTTCACCTTAGCACAGAGGAAAGACTACAAGATGGTGGAGACTCGGCCTGTGGGCTCTGGTTTGCGGTTGTTTGGGTTTTTTGTTGTTGGGTTGTCTTTGTTCCTTTCTCCACCATCTGACTGTTTTTTCCTTCCTTCAATGATGACCTGGGCACCATGCCCACACGGCGTCCGTACTCGTGAAAAAAAACAGGAGTGTCAAACAAAGCTTGTTTTCTGAGTGTTTGCATCCGGGTTCGTGGGTTCCATCTTGTTTTTGTTTACTCTTTCTCTCTCTCTCTCTCTTTTCCTCTGACAAGAAACACTCTGCTGTTGTTATGTTGATGAAACTTGATGGGCGTTGTTTCCGTCGTGCCACCATCTTTTCGGTTGGAACACTTTGAGATGGGTTAAGCCACACCTGTGCCCCACCATGCCGGAAATGTGAAAATATCCACCAGCGATTTGTTCCACGTTCTTTTTGCCACCCAGGCAGGCGCTGCGTTATGCGAACAAAAGATCCAAGCGGGTGATGACAAACTTGGTTGAGATCGCAGCGGCCATGTGCAGTCATTTAGGACATGGGGAGAGCTTGGAAGAGCACAAGGAGCTTTGCAAAACTGCGTTTGAAGAGTGGCTTTGACAGGGGAAGTCAAGGGACAGTCCTGTTGGACAACGTTGTTTTGTCGCGCTTGGAATAGGCTATATACTTTGTTTTTGCGAGTCAAACCTGATTCTGATGGTACATTTTTTTAAAGATGCTTGCTGCCACATATGGTTTTAGAAGAGTTTCGAGTGGACGGCGGAGGGCTTTGTGTCAGTTAGCTAGAATTGCAGCAGGCTTTTGGATGGAGCTGAGTACGCAGTGTCGAAAGTTCGTAACGTTTTCTTCAGCTGCAGTTGACATCCAAGGAGAATTGCTTTGTTCAAAAAGAAGCTGGAAAGCCGATTGGAAGAATTTGCGAACAAGGTTGCGCACATCTTCGATGATGGATTGCTTGCAGCCATCAAGGAAGGGTCGCGTGTGGCCGGGCTTGGTGCGAATAGCACAGCAGCGGCGTGGCATGGCTTCCACCCGAATTCGTATTGTGCTGCGGCGCGGAAGGGGGGCATCAACCCCAATTCCACACGGGGGCCAATTCATTGGCCAAAAGAGCTGAGCAAACCCTGCTATGGCAGCTTTCAGCCAAAATGGATGGAACTCTTTGGCAACCACCTGCCGGCTCTACGACGAATGGCAAGAGATCATCCAGGAGGAAACCGCGCGCTTCCACGACCAGATGGCACAGAAATTGCCGCAGATCCACTGCCTTGAGGCAATCCGTGCCGGGGCTAACATTTCAGGTTACCTCCAGAAGATGAGGGAGATCAATGACCGCCATGAAGCGCTGCTCAAGCGGGACTTGTGTGAAGAAGTTACCCACAACGTCGTTGAGAGTATGAAGAAGCCGTTCGAAGAGTCCAAACAGATTAAGGGCAAAGGCTCCTTCGCAAAGATGAAAGAGCACATTGACCGCTCCGTCGCAGCCTTAAGAGGGAGGTGCAAAAAATGTCGGGGGAGAGATCTGGCTTTCCTTTGACGTAAGGTATCAAGGCTTACATGATGCAGGCATTGCTTGCGCATCCAAGAATGTTTGGCCACTCGCGTTGGGAGTCGTGAGTTCGTCCCCTTTGCTTTTGGCCAGACGTACTTTCGGACGAGCATCTAGCTTCCGTTCGCGAATGGTTTTTCTGGTTGAGCCTTCCAGTCCGTTTGTTTCCGTTCACGCCTCCCGAGGTGCAGACCATCAAGTGGGAACATGTCACCGAGGGCTTGATAAGCGGTTGCCACCAATTTTTCCTGAACTTTGAGGGAATGAAAGACGAAATCCTGCTACGTGTGCCACAGCTGCTACTTGAAGGCAGAGCAGCGGAAGTGATTCTGCACATGTCAATGGATTTGTAGCTTTTGTGCTATTTGTGTCAATGACCACGCCAGTTGTGCCATGTTTTTCAGTGCAAAAGTATCGTTTTTTTTGCCTTGGGCAGGCTATGAGCCGCTGTGGCGCGACTTGGACCAGGAGGCGCTGGACACCTGGAATTCCTTGAAGGCTGCTGTGTTGCCTGTGACAAGAGAAGTCAAAAGCAAGGCCGAACTGCTGAAGCAAAAGGTGGAGCAGCGGGAGCTTTGCTGCGCCGAAGTTGGCCAAGATGAGGCGCTCTCTGAGGCACATGATGAAGTGCTCACTGATGCACAGGATGCCGATGACACCCAGTCAGCAGAAAGTAAGGAAGGAAGCGAATCTGAGTCAGCAGAGGAAGACATGGACGTCAGTGAGGCTGAGAATCTTGATGACCCAGTTGTTGACAACGATGTGCTTGAAAGCAAGGAAGTGATGCCAGAAGAGGAGGAAGCGAGTTCGCAATCAGACAATGAAGAAGCTGAGGAATCAAAGGGCTTAAAAAGAAAGCGGGAGGCGAGCGTGATTCTGTGTATATATGTTGCTGAGGAAAGTAACCTTCAGTGTTGCCAGTTTGCCCTTTCCCTTTTGCAGTTGCCATAGTTGACCTATTGTTCTTTGTGTTCGGAATGGCAGTTGGTCTCCCAAGCGCCCCACAGGATCAAGCTGATGAATGCGGCCGCCTCGCTGAGTTTGCAACACCATCGCCGTGCTTTCCTGCATCAACGCAGTGACAGTGGGGGTGAGTTGGTTGCAACGCCTACACAGCTAGATTGGGGAAGGCAATCGCCTAAATTGACCGACTGTGAGTGTACAGCTCGAGGGGATGGCTGTGGGGAGGTAGCCGCGGGGAAAAGCAATTGCTGTGCCGTTGTTATGTTGATTTTTCTGAAACTTGCGGCAGCGCCGTCCATTTCTGTTCGGAATGTAATGCTTGTTTTGGTCTTGGCAGAAATGAATCAGGCAATGCTGGCGCTTTTTGTTTGACGCAATGCAGCAGTTTTTATGTGAAGAGCGATTAACATTGAGCTGAAATATGCTGAGATCATGGTCTAAGGCTAACAAGTCTTCGGGGAGCTGACTGAGTTCGCAGGGGTTGACGCTGCTGGGTCAGTTTGACTAATCATTGGCCATCAGTCAGATCTGGAGTTGCTTCTGTCATGGTATATGGTAAGAATTGTTGGCAAGCTTTGCGTGACATTTCTCAGGGTCAAAGTAGGTCAACTTGTCAATCCGTGACATGATGGTGGCAAGCTCTCCGGACTTTGCTTAGACTAGAGCTAGCTTTGTGAATTCAATAGTCCCGGCACAGACACCGGAGGTGATTGAAGTGCCGCTGTGAAAGCTCCATTGAGGCAATTCGTGCTCTTCTGGGTGAAGCCAACATTTTGATTTCGGATTGTGTGAACAATTCCAGGCAATAGACCAAAGGTCGATGCTTGACCCACCGCTTGTGCAGTGAATAGCCGGGTTCAAGACTCGGGGGTTTGCTTGAGTGTGCATCTTTGAAATCCCAGCTGTCGTCTTGAGACAAAGCGAAAGTCATTCTGGCTGAGAAAAGTATCTTCAGGTCCCTTTGCATATTCATGGGTTTTCGATGGGTTTATGCTGATATTTTGCGGAGTGAGTTTCAATGACAACCACTTGGATTACAAAAAGGGCAATTGATTTGGTAGAGGTAACACGACAAGAGCCATGGCTAGCTGGATGCCACTGACTGGGACAACGGTCCTTGCCGTAACGATGTTTTTGGCTTCTCGGCTTCGAGGTCGGTGTTTTATTTGGTTTTGTAACGCTTCTTGTTTGTGTGGTGACCGCTTGTAGGATTTGATCGAAAGCAGAAAGATACCAGTCATGCGTGGAAAAATGCAGGTTTAGAGTTTGTGCAGCACGTCCCAAGTTGAACATGTCGTGTTGATTTTGTCGCTTCCAGCTTTGCCGTTCCCATGTGCACCAGTCCGTGTGTTCGATCGTTTTATGAAGCCCTGTCAGTTGAAAGAACTCAATAAAGAGGGCGAAGGGTTTTGGGGGATATCGAGGCCCATAGCTTCGAGCGTGTTTCCCCAAGCTGGCGGAAGTGGTGTGGTCAACACCTGGACTTCACGGGAGAGGCTCTTTTGCAGGGAAAACTTTGGGTCTCTTGGTCTGGTCACGGATGTGGAGACAGGGTAGGACGCCAGGAGGTGAATCTTTGGGGAACCCAGCGGCGCATCTTAGTCAACTCCTCCCCTGGTACACTGGTTCCCCCTCATGCATCTCTGTCTTACCGGTGTTTAAAACATCAGTGAACATCACGCTCTGAGTTTAGCTGCTTGATGGGTTTCTTGAGTGGCAAATGACAAATACACATGCGGTGCCAATTTTGACTGCAAACCTTTAGGATATCATTATCATGTTCATTTGTTTGGAACATTTAGTAGGACCCTCACAGTTTCAGGTTTTTTTGTGCTCCGATGTTGACTGTAATAAGTTTGCAAACCAAAAGGGTTTTGAACAGAAGACATGGAACAGGCCAGGTTGGCACAGACGTGCTTTGTTCAGGTTTCGACCAAATTTTAGACTCCAAAAGCACGACCAGGCCACGGATTTGTGTGTGAAGCTGGTTTTTCTGAGAGTAGTGCGTATAGGGTGTCACTCCAACACGAGAGTAGAGAGTTAGACATGCCGGACGAAATCCAACTAAAATCTATCGGCAGTTTGCAGTTGGTTCCTGTTTCTTGAAGTACTCAGAAGATAAACTAGGAGAGCCTTTTGATTTCCAGGAATTTATTGTGATTGCAGTGAGGTTCTCTTCTCCAGTAGTTTTTTTCATGGTGCCTTGGCTCTAATTTATGGTTGCAACCAGGCCCTGCTGTAGCGCTGTAGCTGATGAAGAACCATTGAGATGACATGAATGACTACTTGTGTGCTCACCGAAAAGAACCCCTACCTTTTTTCACGCAAGAGTCTTTTTGCTTTCGCCGGGTCAGAGCAACGATTTGTAGACTTGCAAGGAATTGGTCCCAAGTTGTTGAAACAAAGAAATCAAAAAGGTCCTGCGATGCTTCGTTTCTTCTTTAAGGCACTAATTCCCATTTGCTTCGAGAAGTCTTTCTGCTGATTCTTGCTGGGGCACCTGCAGAAGAAGAGCTGGGAACCTTCGTCTTTCTCGTTGTGTTTTTGCTCTCGGGAGCTTGCGGCTGCTGGCTCAGCTGGCTAACTTTGCGTCACCAACTCCGACACAGTGCCGATTTCGCGTCCATGCCCGTGGAACATGTGGACGCTGTGGCAAACCTCTCTAACAGCCGGGGTTCCAGCGCATGTGTCTATGGCGCAGCTGTGCTGGGGATTCTGGTGGCCGGACACCAAAGTTTGGCAGCTTCATTCAGACTTTCTTCGCCCCAAGCCAAAGCCATGCTTGTGGGAGCACGTTTGGCGCCAGAGTTTGTGTCGCCTGTGAGTACACGCCTCCGGAAGCACCTGCCTTTCTATGTGAGCGCGTGCACGGCGTTAGTGTATTTAGCTGCCTGTGCACCGGCAGACCTAACTGTTTCCAATGCCATTCTAGTTTGGTTTGCGTTTCACTGTTTCTTCCGCACGTTTCCCAACATCTTAGCCCTGGATGTGCGAGAGTACGCAGCCACTGATTTTGCTGGGCACATCTATGGCGCGCTTTTCGCGGCCATGTGTGGAACTTGCCATTTGATCCTTCAATCACAAGCTCTGCCAGCGCTGCAGTCCTGGCTGGCGCTATTGGTTCTTCTTGTAGCGACCCTCCCGTAGATGTGGAGTTTTAAAGAAAGAAGACGGCCCTGCCAGTGAGAGGGGCTTTGTTGGTGGTTCTACTTGCTCGGGAGTGTATATAATATAAAAGTATTTTTTCGCCTACGATAGCCGGCCTTTGATGATAGACTTAACTGAAAACCGCTGAAGAAGCAGTCTTGCTGTCAGCCTCACTGTCACTAACTAGTTCTGCATTTGTTGTTTGACTTTTCTTTACGGATTGCATGCAGCGGCGAGTGTTCCAAATATCGATCCGCCCAACAAGCAGGATACGTTCTATGCCGGCTGCTGCTCGAACCAGCAAATGCTGAATGTGGGGTATAGTCTAGTTAGGCAAGTTCATGGAAGTGTTGAAGAAAACAAGCGTTTGAGAACACCACATGGCTACCCTTGGCCAGAACAAGAACTGAGGTAGCCATGACGGCCATAGGTCGTGTAGCTTTGTTGAGCTTCTTAGGGACGCGTGGCTCATGATTGCGGCCTGTTGCCTTGAGACCATCTGGTGGCCGGGGTCCCAGTACGACCTCGGCGGAGGCCAAGCTGGTCACAAGGAGGGCGTGCCGAGGGCTGATGTTCAGATGCGCCCAAACGAACAGCCTTGATGAGTGCATCCATCCTCACTTAACGAGTTGCAGGAATGAATGGGGTGGAGCCAGGAAACTTCCTCACCCATGCCAAGGATAGAGGGTTAAACATTTTGGAGCCATTCAGAAGATTATTGATTATTGTCATCGTCACAGTTGCCGACTTACTTTCTTATGAACAGAATATGCTTAACCGCTAATTCTGCCTGCTTGGATGAAGTCCTTTTTTTTCATCAAAACACTGACTGCCGGCCAGGGATGACACCACTGATTCTGGGAATCTCCCACGGATTCGTGACCTTGCGTGAATCGAATCATCTTCGACAAACCCAAGACTTTGTTGCACAAGCGCTAAGTATTCCTCACCCAGTCAAACTGGATTCTTTGCATTTTCCACCCTTTCTGGGGTCCCAGCTTTCTAGTTCTGAAAATTGACACATATATAATAGTTCACTTGCTTGTGAAAGAGGAAAAAAACCCAATCAATTTTTAGAAGCTGCCATGGCAAGTGGCTTTTCAGCAGATGGAAGTGTTGTCAACTCCCCTGCTGACCTATGCGGCACAGAGAGGAGCTTGATGTCGTGGGGGTGTGACGGTGTGGTTTGATGGTGTGAAATGCGTGTTCTGCCCAGGCTGCCCGCAAGCGCTCTGAGAATTAACTTGCTACTAATAGCGATGCCCTTGTTACTAGTAGCTTCTTGTTCCTAGTAGAAATGCCAGAAGCTACTAGTAGCCATGTTCACTTTCATTGCAAAGAGTGCGATGTCTCAAGATCTACCTCCCTACAGTGAAGGGTCTCACTGAACCAGCGAAGAGGCTGGAAAACACCCGACACTTCCAAACTTCCGAGCGTGGAGGCAATAGAACAGAGAGAAGCAACAGTGGCTTGCACGAAGAGAAACCCTCTTTTTTATCCTCATGCCCTCATGTCTTGAACCAGATGTAGAAGCACAGCATCAACATGGCCACCAACAACTGTGGGATTTTGGTATGTTTTTGCCGCTTTTGATGCAAAAGACTTTGTAACTTCCAACTCGTCGAGTTCCGCCTAATAGCTTAAGTTTCCCTAAAAATCTAGAAAGCAAATGAATAGTGCGAGCTTCTTTGAAGAAGCGTGAACTATCCTGCGTCCTGCCTAGGAGCGCTGTGCCTACTAGCTACCTCTCCCTTACTTAATTCAGTAGGCGACTACTTAATTAAGTCTGGAGGGGGGGGAGCGGGCTAAACAAAAATCGATCAACGTCGCCTGTCACTTTGAAGGAGTACAGTCGCGGCTGTTGCTGGTGCCTCGCTGCGGCCACGGGAGCTTCCTCAAACTCATTCGCTCCGAGCCATCCAGCTTCATTGGCTTCCTACGCGAGACGCTGCGTGTCATTGAGGAGGTGGAAGGCTGGCCTGCTGGGCTGCCGGGGAGCAGCAGCTAGCATGTGCTGAGCTAGGACAGGGTACATCTACCAGGAAGTCGTAGAGTCGTAGCAGTACCGTTCAGTGGCCAGAGTGGAACATCAACTTGCTGCAGAAATTGCAGCCAAGACTTGTACTTGGACAACATCCATCCTTTGAAGCTTGCAAGCCTCTTCTCATTCGAGCAACATGAATAGTTGAATCCTCAACGTCCGCATACATTGAGGCTGGCAAGATGGGGAAGGTGCAAGTTTTGCTCCTCACACTGTTGGTAGCGTCACTCACAGGTCATGAGAACTACAACTTGCGGATCACAGCCGGGTCTTTGCCTCTTCGGGGACTGGAGCCTCCAGCAGAGCTAGTGGAAGATCTGGCGCGCGCAGGCGCCAGCTGGAGGTCGCAGGTTGTTGCTGAAAGGAGTTGTGCTGCTAAGGGGTGGTAGAGCGTGGTAGAGGCTCCCATCATTCTTTGTGAAAACCACATGCAGTGGCCTTACCTGGATCATCACTGCATTTTGCTGGGCGATTCTGCCCTGCGTGTCATTTTCGGTGCAGGCTTCTCAGTGTCGATCTTCGCCGATGCAGCCCGCAAACGTGAGCCTGCAGGCTGTCAGACGTGGGTTCATGTGCCAGGACCTGCTGCTCCAAAACTGGATCGCGTGGTTTCCACCAGTGAGGTCCAGTTAGCATGTGGTTTTCATTGCAATGTAATTATAATAGGTGAACGGCATGAAAGAAACGGCAGGGCAGCTCTTATCTATTGATGTTTTCCGTTTAGAGATTCCGTCAGTACTGGTGCAAAAGGTTGTGATTTGAAGTAAAGCTGTATCTTTCCCACTATGAAGTAGTCCCCTGGGCAGATGCAGACACTTTGTTGGACCTGGATGCTGCCATTGACTACCAAGATGCGTCTGGAAGGCAGGGGCAGGGTTTCAATTCATACCGTCATGTTGTGTTTGATAAGACATAGTTGAGAATCAAACAGAATATGATTTTTTCATGTATTATTCTTGCCCGAGGCCATTTTTCACACCTCATGCCTCCTTAATTACCTTACATAATGATTCCAACCTTTCCGCAAGCACATGGCAGCTTTGGCAGTTTCAAGGCGCAGTGTTTTGTTCTTGCTTTCATGTCCTTTTCGATCTTAGGCATGTGAGGCTCCCGATTACTTCCGGAGATATCACTCTGAAGCGCGGCGAGCACACGCGATGTGCATTGGATGCACAGGCTGGGCAGGTCTCTGTGCCGTGCGGGGGCATGGCAAACTTTATGAAGTTTTTTTTGAGCAAAGGCAGCACCGTATTCAAGCCTTTCATACGACTTAATACTACATGCAGTGTAACCATTTTCCCCAAGCTGTTTTGAGACAGTCTCAATGAGCGTTATCAGCGCGAGAGGCGCACCGCTGCGCAGGGTAGACCCGTGCTAGTGGTGGTCCTGGAACGCTTTGCCGAACGCTCAGGAAAAACAAACGAACGTGGTGGTGGCTGGTGCGTGTTGGCCTGCACAAGATCTCAAGAAATCCACGCTGGTGGGTGTTGCTTGTGAACACGATTGGCCAAAGTGGTGAAGCCAAATTGACATGAAAACTCATGCTGGAGTTACTGACGTGGCAGTGAATGGGTGCATTTCTTCAACCTGAAGCTCTGGGCCTTGCAATCTACAAGCGATTCTAGAGAACCTTGAACTACTGTGTGTTTTTGAGCTGATCACGGGAATCTCCTAGAAGTTGCGAATGGAACCCCAGCACTTCCATGCACACTAACCACCTCGTTGGACATCAGGTGCGCTTTCAACGGGACTGCAGCGATGCAGAGCTCTTGGAGCTTTGGACTTTGGCCTTGAATGTCATTGAGGAAAGCAGCGGGCCACAGGCGCGGGCCCTGGGCCGGGTTGACTGGGTTTTGTTTGGTTGTGATGTAGTGTGGACTGGGAGACAGTTTTGCCTTTTGTGAAGAAATCCGTGGAACCCATCGCTAAGGAGGGAGATCCCTTCGTGGACATGCGATTGAACGCTGGGACCTTCCAGAACATTCGCCATTTGCATTTGAAGGTCTGGCTGAACAGACTCATGGCAAGGTAGGGTGGTGGTCGGTGTTCGGGCAATGAGCCTGTGCGCTACGAGTGTAGCTTGATGAGACATGATGGGACTGTCCTACTCATGGACAATGGTTATTCAATCGCCTTACCAAGTTCACTCTATTTAGTTTTCACCACCGCGTCCAATTTTGCTGTCTGAAGAGAGCTGGACTCGTGGGTGGAAGAAGTGGAAGAGAAAAAGAGAGAGCGAGAGAGAGAGAGAGAGAGTGCGTGTAGGGTGGACAAAATTTGGTCGTGGACGAGCACTATGGGAGTCTTCCACGGGTCTTCCTGATGTTGCCCATGCCTTCTGTTTTCGTTACTAGTAGCTTCTTGTTCCAAGTAGTAAGTAAGGCCAGGAGCCCCTAGTAGCGATGCCCTATGCTACTAGTAGCGTCTCTTGCTCCTTCCCAAGCGTCCAAGGAAAACTCTTCGAATCCACCTGGGCTGCTCACCCGGCCTACAAAGTCCTGGCACAGCACCGACACTCGCCAAGGGAGCTGGGGAGCTGGTGAGGGGTCCTGGAAATGGTGGTGATCCGTTTCCTTTCGTCTTTCCCGGTTAACTTGGTGAGTAATTTGTGAAGCTTGCAACATCTCTAGATAGCTTCATACACTCGACGCCAAAGGGTTTATATATCCTCAACTTGTTCCCCAAGTCCCCTGCAAACGAGCTTGGACTACCTGGGTGATGGATATCCACCGGTTGTGATATCAATTTGTTTGCCTATCTTTCTCTGTCTCTGTCTCTGTCTCTGTCTCTGTGTCTGTGTCTGTGTCTGTCTGTCGATCTATCTATGCATCTAACCAACTACTGTATACATCTTTCGGTTTTTGATCTATTTTGTCCTTGGGAATCCCTGGGGCAGGTGTTTCGCGCTTTCTCCATCTAGGAGATGAGCGCCGTGCCCGTCGTGCTGCCAGACCACGCGATGAAGCAGATGTGCAGACGGGCGAAGAGCGGGTAAAAATGAGGGCGGCAAAGTCCACCAGGCAATATCTCCCGAGAAATGATAGCTACTCACAGTGACAGACTCCAAACTTTATCAGTCTTCATTATGAACGGATGAGTT